TCCAGTCTGGGCGACAGAGTGAGACTCCAACTCAAAAAAAAACAAAAAAACAACAAAAAAAACCCAGATAGAGGCGAGCAGAGCCTCCGGGACTGCAGAGGCACAGAGCCGGGTCCTGACCAGGCTCCTGGGACCTGTCCTTGTGTGAGCAAGAAACCCCTGTGGTCGTTTCAGCCAGGAGGGTCGGCTGCTTTGTTGCTCCTGGGAGGCATCCCGAAGGGTCCAGACCCGCTCTTGCGCCGCCCACTCCGGGGAATGCCTACCGTTTGTCTGGCTCTTCATCCCGGACCTCTCTCTGGACACCCAGTTCCGCCCAAATCCCAGACAGGAGTGACTGATGGCTCCATCCCAGAAAGAATGCTTCCCCGAGAAAGTGCAGGGATGGACCCAAAAGCCTCGCCCAGCCAGACCTCTCCTCTCTCTCTCTGCCTTCCACGTTTCCATTCTGTTCTTCTCATCTCCTTTACATGAAAGGTCGGCCTTGAGCCTGTTCACGTCCTACCGGTTTGCAAGCCTCAGGCTCAACACTGGTTCCTCTCTGAAGGCTTGCCTGACAGGCCCAGTGGGGAGAAAGAAACAAGAAAAAGCAAAAAAGCCCCATCCAAACTAGGGACCATCGGCCTCAGTGTATTATTGCCTCCCACTCGGTGTCCCTCACAGGCAGCTGGTAACGGTTTGCCGGGCACCTGAGAAGCTAATCTTCTCTCCTGTGTCCTCTGCCAACACTAGCACGTTGCGTCTGGGCCTTTGACACCCCTGAGAAGGAAGGCAAGCGGAGGGATCCAAACGGACGAGCAAAAACAGGTTTTCTTCAGGAGCTGCTGGCCCGAGAAACGGCTAACGCGGTGCTTCGCCGAGGGGGCCTCACCATCAGTATCACTCGGGGCGGCGTAAGCGATGCGAACCCTTGGGACCTTCAGAACCAAAACTCTAGGGGAGCCTGGGCCCCAGCCACCTGTGTCCTAATAAGCTCTCCGGACTCCGTTGCCCGGGGAAGTTTGAGAACCCCTGGACTCAGCAGAAGGTCTTAAGCTGGAGCTTGCGAAGCGAATGAGAGCCCGGCCGTCGGAGAGCAGGGTTGAAAAGCAAGCAGGCCGGGCTCGGGGCCTCAGCCCGTCACCCCAGCACTTCCGGAGGCCGAGGCGAGGGGATGGCCGGAGCCCTCAGCTTCGAGACCAGCCCCGGGGAACTGGGCAAGACCTCGTCTCTACGATAAATCAAAAATCAGCTGGGGGTGGTAGCGGGCACCTGTAGTTCCGGCTACTTGGAGGGCTGAGGCGGAAGGGTCGCCGCAGCCCAGCAGGTCGAGGCTTAGGGTGGCCGTGAGCGTGCCCACCGCACCCCAGCCTGGGTGACGGAGTGAGCCCCCAACTCAAAAGAAAAAAAAAAAAAGAAAGGTCAAGGGAAGGTCAAAGTGACTTGTGGAGCCCAGACCTGACCATAACACCCAGGGAGGAGCTGGCCCTGGAGAGGTGGGGTGCAGCTGTCCAGACCTGGATGATCCAGAGCTGAGCCTCTCTTCCACCTGGCATCTCTCTCTCCTACCTGATGTCTGATGTCTCCTGATCCGCTCTGTCCATTTGGGCCATGCCAGGTGGGTGGGTGTTCATCTGCAGAAATCCCAATAGGGATCTAAATATTTTTAATTGTTCTTTTCTCTTATGTAGGCCAGATGCTTATTCCTTTTTATTTATTTATTTATTTATTTATTTATTTATTTATTTGAGTTGGAGTCTCACTCTGTCCCCCAAGCCGGAGGGTAATGGCATGCTCACGGCCACCACAGCCTTGACCTGCTGGGCTCAGGCGATCCTTCCGCCTCAGCCTTCCAAGTAGCTGGAACTACAGGCACGCACTTCCACACCCAACTAATTTTTGGATTTATTGTAGAGGCGAGGTCTTGTCAAGTCGCCCAAGCTGTTTTCAAACCCGTGGGCTCAGGTAATCCCCTCACCTTGGCCTCCCAAAGTGCTGGGATTACAGACTTGAGCTACTGTAACCAGCCTTTTTTTTTTTTTTTTTTTTTTTTTTTGAGTCAGAGTCTCCTCACTCTGTCACCCAGGCTGGAGTGCAGTGGCACGCTCATGGCCACCGCAACCTCAACTTGCTGGGTTAAGGGGTACCTTCCACTTCAGGCTTCAAGTAACTGGAACCACAGGCGCAGGCCACCACACCCAGCCAATTTTTTTTATTTATTGTAGAGACGAGGTCTCACCATGTTGTCCAGGCTGGTCTCGAATTCATGAGCTCAGGCAATCCTCTCGCCTCAGACTCCCAAAGTGCTGGGATTTGATACATTTTTTAAAGTATTATCAGATGATGCTGATAAATTTCTACCTACATTTGGAGATAGTAAGCATACACCATCAATTATATTCAGGAAAAAACCTTTTTTTCTTATATCTCATAGATACAGTCTAAAATATAATCTTTTTTTCTTATTTTGTTTTTCCACCCCATTGTTTCCAAGTACAGAGTTTCCCTCAAATAAGTTTTCTGTGTTATGCTTAATCGTTGCACTAACGTCGATAACGTGTAGCTGCTACTACTTTGCATGGTTATATTTTTATATGATGATAATATCCTGAAGTTTTAGCAAAAGAAGAGATTTTAATTAGCCAAGGTAAAACACTAACTTTTGTTGAGAAACTACAATTCAGCAGGTGTTTTAGGTATATTCATGAATCTAATCTCCCATTAATCCTGTTAAAGTGAATATTGTTGTCTTTATCTTGCAGATGAGGAAGCAGGTTCAGACGGGTTGAAAACCTGGGCTAGAGTCAGGAAAGGATTCCACTTCTGACTCCAAAGTCAGGGCTTTCTTTCACAGTACCACCCTATTCCCACCTCCATCCAGAGGACACTCACTCGACTGCATCTTCCTTGCTGATACCCACACATATGTGTGCATGGGGCTCTTGAAAGTTAACGAAACCGGAGGGAAAAAAATTTGCAGGTCTTGGAAATAGGAACTCTGCCCTACCTAAAAAAAAAATCTTCCCCAAGTTATGATGGAATGTTTTGTAAAAATTTCAAAAGGGTCATTCTATTTGCGAGCCAAAATGCATGTAGTGAGTTTTAATCCTGACTTCGAAGAACTGAACGTACTTATTGGCCATCTGTGCTTTTTTTTTTTTTTTTAGTTGGAGTCTCACTCAGTCGCCCAGACTGGAGTGCAGTGGCCGGGAGTGGCCACCGCCGCCTCGACCTGCTGGGCTCTGGCAATCCTTCCACCTCAGACTTCCGAGTAGCCGGAATTACAGGCATGCGCTACCACGCCCGGCTGATTTTTTGATTTATTGTAGAGATGAGGTCTCGCTGCCCAGGCGGGTCTCGAACCCGCGGGCTCAGGCCATCCACTCACCTCAGCCTTCCAAAGGTGCGGGATGACAGGCTGAGCCACCAAGCCCGGCTCATCTGTGCTTTCTAATACAGGTTTTGTGAAGTTGTTGATTCAAAAGGTAGCTCCCAACATCCTTAGTTTCGATTCAGAAACCTTACAACCAAAAAAAAAATTCTTAGATTTGCCCTTAGTTGGTGTGCTGTTATAAAATGTATCACATATCCTTAGACCTGCCATTCCTGGTTAATTAATCTTCAAACAATGAAGGCTGCCTTTACTTAAGGAAGAGCTTGTGAAAGGGAAATAATTAGAGCAGAAGCAGCTCTCAATGCTGCTGTTGCTTTTATCTATTTTTAAATGATTGCTAGATGTAACTGACACCCCTAATCGGTGGTTCTAAAGTTTAGATGTGTTCATTAAAATGTAATGTGACAGTGGCACCATTTTTGGCAGCCTTTTGGACTCAACTTTTTTTTTAATCTACTTAATGACTCAATAAGTGTTTATATCAGCCATCTTGAAATGCCTGATAGCTTTTCAGCAACTTGTATTGCCTGTTATCAGACAATATACTGCTGTGTCCACCCAGAAAGGGGAGATTTTCAATCATTCAGATCATCCATGGTAAAAGGAATAACTTTTGACTAAAATACTCAACTATTTCAGGCCAAAGTATCTGGGGCCTGGATAGCTACCTCAGTTTTTCATGTGATTTTGCAAAGCCTTTACAAATCACTCCTTTGAGTCATCCTCTATGTATATTTTTCTAATTAAGACAGACATGATGTGAAGTCAACTATTTTAATTATTGTCAAGCCAAAATAAGCAAACATTTAAAAATAAGAGCAATTTTTTTAAAGGATCAGAACAGACTTACATTACATGACTGTGAGAATTTGGCCACTTTAAAAGCCTGTATGCCCACATATCGCCTACAGTCCTTATTTGTTTCATCGTGTTCTATTTTCATAAGGAAACAATCTGCTTTGTTCTCTGTTGTAGAAAATGTAAACAACTATACATCGAAAGCACAGCCATTCCTTATGTAAAAACCAAAGTCTGTATACTTACTTTTCAATATTCTTGTCCAAGAGACGTTACGGGAGGGCTAGCTCAGTTGTGGGTTCCCCGGGCTGTGTGTGAGGCATTGATTGGGTGCCCCTGCTCCTGGGATAGGGGTTCAAAGGAGTTACGGGTCTCAGGGTCTTTTCCACGATCGGGTCAAAGCACAGTTGGGTCTGTTTCCAGCAAAGCTCCTATCTTCCTAAAAGGGAAAATTCCATGCCCACGGAAGTTCTGGAAGAAGAGCATTTTTTCCCTGCCCTTGAAGGATCTAGGTCATTGCTGAAGCTGGAGAATATATTTTAGCATCCCTGTGATGAAACTTGAGGGCTGTTCCTGCAGTAGGTGCGACACTTGTTGACGCCACCAGGGAGGCCCTGGCAAAGGGGCCTGGTGAAATGCAGCCCCAGTGAGCTGATGAAACCCAGATGAGCTGTCACTGACTGCTGCTTGGAAGACTGGGCAGGTCTCTGCAAAGCCCACGCAGGACCTCGCTTTTAGTGGCTTGCCCCTGGGGGAAGTAAAACACTCGCTGCGTGATGAATTAAGGCTGGAGTAACACAGCCAGTTCTCGTACCAAAGGTATCAGGCATTTGAAGTACACATAGGAAACCCGCGAAGGGGGTGGTGGGGAGGTGAAAATAAGAGTCATATGTTGTTCATTTAGCACTGGTATTACAGCTGTCCTCTGAAGTTCTCTGAGAAAGCCAGAAGCCACAGAAGTGAGGCAGGATCCACCTTCCTGCCTGTGACCCCTCCCTCTCTGTAGCTTTCTCTCTCTCTCCCTCTCTCACTCTCTCTCTCTCTCTCTCTCTCTCTCTCTCTCTCTCTCTCTCTCTCTCTCATACACACACACACACACACACACACACACACACACACACACACGCACACACCCTCTCTTTTAACCATAATGGTAAGAGAAGAATGGGCTCTGTTCCTTCAGATTGCCTGGAATCGTTCTTGTTGGCAAAGTAGATTTCATAATGTGGGCATTTCTTTTACGGAACATTGTCCAAATCCAAGAAAGAACAGAGAAAACCCCTCAGCATCATTCTGTAGCTATTTTGCCTCTGCACAAAATTATTTTAATGTATGACACCTGGAAACTGAAATCTTAGAAAGAAACCTTGTGTGAGACTCATGGAGATGGCTAAAATTAACAGCTCCAAGCGGGTGACATTGAAAGGGACATAGATAGCTGTAAATATTCACTCTGTGATGAGCCCTACAATCCTCAAAAGCAAAGTGTTTTTAAGATCTGCACCACTATACCTTGATGGAGTGAGAATTTAGATGACAAAAAAATCGTCATCCAAAATGATTAAAGATTAAGAAGTATACAGTTGATGTGTTCTGTTTTCCAGTTTTATCTTCATATGAGAAGAAAGATATTAAAAGCTGGGAGACTAAAATAATGACTGTCTGCTTGGGAACACACCTATGAAATGTAGTAGAATGCAGAAATTACCAAATCTTTGTGAATATAAGTATTAGTTGGTTTTATGTAAAGCTGGGGCTTCACAGTGTGAGATCTTTTCCAGACAAGGGGAGATAACTTCAAGATGGGGATGGAGAGAGGAGGAAGGTATGATGATAAAGAATAAACAAACGCTGTCACACACCACAGGGAGGATAAAGCCAGAGTGAACAAATGTCCCAAAGCAATAGATAAATGTGGTATGGTTATGAAAGAAGCTGCCAGGGCGTTCTTAAATGGAGAAGTTGAAACCCACTATGAAACTGAATTACAGCGGCTCACGCCTGAAATCCCAACACCTTGGAAGGCTGAGGTAGAAGGATTGCTTGAGCCCAGGAGTTTGAGACCAGCCTGGGCAACATAGTGAGGCTTTGTCTCTATAAATAAAAATAGCAGGGCATGGTGACACACACCTGTAGTCTCAGCTACTCAGGAGGCTGAGGTGGAAGGATCACCTGAGCCCAGGAGGCCAAGGCTGCGGTGATGTGTGATCATGCCACTACACTCCAACCTGAGCAACAGAATGAGACCTCCCGACTCAAAACAGACAAACAAACAAAAACTTAATTCTGTTCCTGAGAAACAATTTGAAAGACCAATTCCCTCAACTACTAGCATTTATCTCCTAGTTACAATAAATGTAAGGAGCAGAAGGTTTTATATATATATATAAAATGGATTTAATGAATTTGACTATATCTTTTAAATTCATTTCATTAGCCCAAACCTATAGAATTTATGTTTCAATCTTAGGTTTTAGGGAGCAGGAATGAAAGAAAATCAGAAACAGAAGGCTTGGAATTAATTAGGCCAGGCCACTTGTTCTGAATTTTCTCTGATTATCAGAGGAGGGATGGAAGGAATAAGATATGGAAAAGAAAAAGAAAGGCATTTATTTGTGCCCCTCTGATAACATCCAAAAAATACATGACTTCTCTTTGTCGTGTCCACCGCAAGAATGAAGAGCACTCCCAGCAATCAGACTGGCAACGTTCTAGAATGTGTCAACATCTTTCTGAAGGGACGCACAGTTATTGTGAAGAGCCTCAAAGGAACCCCGCACCTCAATGTAGAACTTAGACTTTTTGTAAAGAAAAAGAAGAGGCTTCAGGTTGACAAGTTGTGAGGAGGTAGAAAGGAACCGGCTACTGTTCCTACTATTTGTAGTCACAGGCAGAGCATGACCTGGGGTGTTCTCAGGGCTTCTGTCACAAGATGAGAGCATGTGTGTTCTCTTCCCCATTAGCATTGCTATCCTGGAGAATGGGTCCCTTGTTGAAATCCCAAATTTCTTGGGTGAAAATTACACCTATGAGGTTCGTTTGGGTGAGGCCAGGTTGCTTGTTCAGTATCTCAAGCCCAGAAGGATGAGTTAATCCTTGAGGGAATCAATACTGAATTTGTTTCTGTAAAGTGGCAGCCCCAGATCTGAGAGGGATTGCGTGTTAAGTTCTTTACATATTCCAAAGACATCACGCAAAGGTCCAGCAGGGAAAGACATTGGTTTATTAGAACTTACAGGAGGCACAGACGGCAGCAGGTCGGTGAAGAAAGAATCCACACCTCAGGACAGTATAGCTAGTAGTTTTATAGACAAGCAAGTTAATTATCCAACTTGTTACATGGTGGTTATAATCACAATGAGTAATGATGTGGTCCACAGTGTTCTCAGCTCTGCTCAATTACCTACACCCTAGGACTAGTTACTGGAAACATGCATATCCTACAGAGACCTGTCTTGGCTGGTCCCTGAGGGAAGGGGCAGAAGGAAGCCAGATATAGGGGAAAAACGTCAATGTCTCTGGACAGTTATCCCACAGTTTCAAATTCAGCAAGCCACAACAGTTAAAAACAAGGATATAAGAAAATTTGGGGGTGGTGTCTATGTTTCTGAAAAAGGAACAGTTCAGCAGGCCTACGAAGAAAATTTAGAGCTGTTCAGAAACAAAATGCCCACGATTCCTAAGACCTGTTTGTGACATTTTCATGATGCAACAAAAACCTCTATTGAAAAAAAATACGGCCTGGCTCAGCGGCTCAGCCTGTCATCCCAGCACTTTGGGAGGCCGAGGCAAGAGGATTGCCAGAGCCCACGGGTTCAAGACCTACCCAGGTTACTTGGCGAGACCTCATCTCTACAATAAATCAAAAATTAGCCAGGCAGTGGTAGCGCGCACCTGTAGTTCCAGCTACTTGGAAAGTTGAGGCGGAAGGATCACCGGAGCCCAGCAGGTCGAGGCTGCGGTGGCTGGGAGTGTGCCACTGCCCTCCAGCCTGGGTGACAGAGTGAGATTCCAACTCAAAAAAAAAAGAAAAAAAAAATACGAGTTCTGTGATTAAAAGTAAAGATACAAAAATATTCAGGGTCATTCCAAGTGAAGTAGTATGGCGTATAAGAAAATATGTTTAAGTAATCTCTATTTGTCTGGAGCTATAAGAGAATTTTTTTTTTAATTTCATTTGTAGGGAGATTTTCCTTCTAAGGAACAGATTTGGATGTATATTTTGTGTGACAGATGTGTCTTAATTATCTCTCTGAAAGGCATTTTGGTCTTTCCAGAATTTCGACTTATTTTCTTGGCTTCACGCTTGAATTGGCGCCGCTTGGCTTACCGTCCACCCTAGGTTTGCTGAGGGACTGTGACCTCTAGTCAGTTCCTAGCCAATCTGAACACTTAAAGCAGATTCATTAGGTTCTTGGGCTGCTCTGTGCCCCCATAACGTGGGCTTGGATTGGTGCATGAGAAGTTTTATCTTCCTGGCACGGAGGGTCCTTGAGTATTAGTGGCAAGGGTGATGGCACGCCCTCCCCAGCAGAGCACATTCTTGGCCAAGGCTTAGCACCAATCACATGTCAAATCAGAGGTTCTGCCAGCGTCCTCGGCCAAGCTGGAACTGAGCAGATCACTCTTACTGCAGAGAGCTGTCAGAGTTTGGGGAGGGTCCCCCAGCACTGAGAGCGTCAGCTCGACCGCCCTCTCTCAACAAATCATTTCTCTCCAGGGTCCAGGGATTCTCCCCAGGGAATGTGACCTGAATCATGCATCTGAGACCTTCGTTCAGTTGACCTGTTTAAAATAGCTCCAGTCTCTCAAGTAGGTCGACTGAGCAGGCATTTTTCCCTCTCAAGAACAAGGGTAAAAGAAATATTAATGTAATTAAGACTCGAATAGTTCTCTCGTGGCATTTTTCATCTTAGGTAACACACTTTCATAAAATTTTTCATAAGAAGAAGAAGTTTTAAAATATTTGCATAGTGGGAATCTGCCTGGGGAGGGAGACACACCTCATCAACAAGGGTCCCTGCATAATGAACATTTATATACCTAACCCTGAATTGTACTCCACACATCTTTAAAATCAAAAAATTAAAAATTTTTAAAAATCAAATCAAAAAACAAAAAAAAATTGCAAAATAATAAAAATGATTTCATCAGAACTGATATATCTGAGAGGAACTTTTTCAAACATATAAATGTTGTTTGAAACTTGAAATTCATTTTCCCCTAGACTAGAAAAATTATAAAGGGTAGTTAGGTTCACACAGAAGTATTTAATCCATCATGTTCCCGAAGTACTGAATTTCAACTAAAACCAAAATATCAAAACCAGCTTAAAGTTCAATTTAGCTAAATATAAGACAGCATTTAAGCACCTAAAAAAAGCACCCAAACTTCCAAGATCAAATTCTATCATGGCTCATTCTAGTGCTCCAATTTCATTTCTAAAACAGTAACAAAGAAAATTTCAACTCTCAGAACAGAACCAATATTCCAATTTTCATAAATTTGTGTGTTAAGCTCTAGACCTGATTTTACAAATGCTCTAGGCCAAATTAACTACTTGAATAACATATGGAAATTTAAATTTTAAAAAATATTTGCACATGTTATATATACCAAGTATTCTATAAGTTTTTTGTTAAGGCTCTTCTTCTGACAAAAAAGCAATACAAACGCGTTACTGAAAAACTTTAATGTTTTCATTTTTAAAATTTCAAATCTCTCATCACCCAGATGCAGCCACCATTAACATCTATTAACATTAACACTATTAACTATTAACATCTTGGCATTCCTTCTACTCTTTCATTTTCCCTTTGTGCATGCTTATACACATACATATAGTCACAATTTGGAGCATTACAGATTTACAGATGCTCCTTGATTTACGATGGGGCTGTGTCCTGACAAACCCATCATAAGTCATCAATATCATAAGCCAAAAATGCATTTAATGCACCTAATCTACATGGTATTGTAGCTCAGTCTACCCTAACTTGAGCATGCCCAGAACAATTACATTAGCCTACAATGGGGCAAAATCATCTAACACAAAGTCTATTTTACAATAAAGTGTTAACTCTCTCATGTAACTGTATGTTACATCAAAATTGGGACAACTCCACACCAATGTAAAGTCAAAGAATCATTAAGTCAAACCACGGTGAAGTAGGGGTCATCCGTATTAGACAGGGTTTTCTATTCTGTTCTTTTTTCACTTAACATGATCCTGTCACTGAGAATTCTTCAAGAAAGCCAGCACATCATTCTGTCAGGCAAATGTGTTAGACTAGCCAGTGTTACACTGCTAGATATTTGGATTGCTTATACATTTTTGCTTTTATAAATAATGATGTGATAAACATTTCTGTGTATAGATCTTTGAGTACAACCCTCCTATCTAAGGATGGGATCTTAAAAGGTACTTACGAAGCAATCTTAACCTCATTAGCAATCAAACAAATGTACATTAAAATGAGATACCAGTTTTGCTTCTCAGAGTAGCAAAAGCATTTTAAATGAGAATGCTCAGAGCCAAGAGTTACTCTCTCAGTGAGATGGGCGGGCTCAGATCACCTGCTGGACACATCACAGTAACCACCACTGCTGGAGTTTTGTTTGGCAATATGTTTCAAACCTTAAAAATATTCATAACTCTCGACCATTAATGCCACTTTTAAGATCCTGTCCTCTACTTGGAAGGCTGAGGCGGAATGATCGCCGGAGCCCAGCAGGTCGAGGCTGCGGTGGCCGGGAGCGGCCACTGCACTCCAGTCTGGGCGACAGAGTGAGACTCCAACTCAAAAAAAAAAAAAAAATGAACAATGTAGACAAACAGCCAGTTTAATGCTCTGGAACTGAACCAAAGGCATACAGCGATTTGAGAAGCATTTATGGTTGAAAACTTCTCAGTGTTGAGTAATAACAGTAAATCTCTGGTGTTCTTGCCTGGTACTGCTCCCATCCCCTGACACTGCTCTGATGTCACAGAGGTTCTACCAGGGCCGGATGTGAGCACTGGCATGTTCACTATCATGATCAAAGGGGGATTTAGAGCAGTGCAAACTGCCTAAGCCCAGCAGGGCTATTGATGGACACGGCCTTGGCAGCAGACGAGTGGAGAAGGCTAACACCTCCCCTTGCCTGAGGATGGGTTGGGATTGGGCCCACATCTGGCTGTCTCAGGCTACATGTGTGGACAGTGCAGACCAGGGAGAGCCCAGCTCTCCACGCCTTCCCCGGACCCACAGTGGAGACATGAAAGAGCCCCACAGAGAATGAATGTCAAAGCAGACTTGAAAACGGCAAAAACGTGACTGCAACTTTTGTGCTTCAAAAGACTTCATCAATACACGCCACAGACTGGGAGAAAATAGTTGCAAAGCATATATCTCATAAGGCACTTGTAACTAGAATACATATCCTAAAAACCCACAAAACTCAGCAACAGAAAGACAATAACCCAACTTAAAAATGGGTAAAAGAGGCCGGGCTCGATGGCTCAGCCTGTAATCCCAGCACTTTGGGAGGCCGAGGCCAGTGGATTGCCTGAGCCCACGGGTTCGAGACCCACCCAGGCAACTTGGTGAGACCTCACCTCTACAATAAATAAAAAACTAGCCGGGCTTGGTAGCGCACGCCTGTCGTTCCAGCTCCTTGGAAGGCTGAGGCAGAAGGATCGCCGGAGCCCAGCAGGTCGAGGCTACGGTGGCTGGAAGCGTGCCACCGCACTCCAGCCTGGGCGACAGAGTGAGACTCCAATTCAAAAAAAAAAAAATGAGCAAAAGATTTGAATAGACATTTCACCAAAGAAAATGTACAGACAGCTAATAAGCATATGAAAGGATGCTTAACACCGTTAATCACTAGGGAAATGCAAATTAAAACACAATGAAAAAAATTTTTTTTTTGAGTCAGAGTCTCACTCCATCACCCATCCCGGCCACTGCAACCTCGACCTGCTGGGCTCCGGCGATCCTTCCGCCTCAGCCTTCCGAGTAGCTGGAACTACAGGCACACGCTACCACGCCCGACTAATTTTTTTGATTCATTGTAGAGATGAGGTCTCATCAAGTTGCCCAGGCGATTCTCCAACCTGTGGGCTCAGGCAGTCCACTCACCTCAGCCTCCCAAAGCACAGGATTACAGGCTGAGCCACCGAGCCCAGCATTTGTGTATTTCTTAAAACATTAGGCACAATCATACCATATGACATATGACCCAGCAATTCCAATCCTAGGAAGCTCCCTATGAGAAATGAAAACACAAGTCCACACAGAAACCTGGATGCCGAAAAACCAAAGACAATCCAAAAATCTGCCAACCAATGAACGGATAAAATAAGTTATGGTCCATGTACTATTTATTCAAGAGTAAAAAGCAAAGGGCAATGGCTACATGCTATGGCTTGAATGAACCTCAAAACACTTTGCTAACACAAAAAAGCCAGACACAAGTAAGTACATATTGAATTATTCCACATAAGTGAAAAAAATTAATTACTCCATAAAAAGTCAAAGTCAAAAAAGAGAAATTTAGAGAGAGAAAACATCAGTGATTTCCTAGGGCGGGGGGCAGAAGCAGGGATGAGCCACACATGGCCATGAGGGAACCTTCTGGGACCCTGGGAATGTCCTCAAACTGAATTGTGGGAATGGTTGAACATTTCCATAAATACACTAAAAAGTG